GCGGTTCTGAGGGCGGCGGGGGAAACGATGCCCCGGCCGGAGCTGGGCTCTTGGCGGGGTCCCACCGGGCAGCGCGGAGCCGATGGGGCAGCGCCGTGTCCCCGCTTCTTAAACTCCCGGTGAGGGCGGCTCTCAAAAACTCACCCCTCGTATTGCCGTCCGACCGCGTTAGCCATGGCGTAGGCGAAGGTAAAGCGCCCGGGACAGCACCGCAGTTAACGTGTTGGAGTTAGAAACGTGACCGTAATGAGCTTCCCTTGTTGGGTTGTTCGGTGCTTTTTTGTTTGTTTGTTTGTTTGTTTTAAGCCGAAATGGGAATAGGAGTTACTTGGTTTGGACCTGTGTCAGGTGAGTGCCCGGCAGAGCTGGTGGAGCCCCGGGAAAGGCAGGTTCGGCGAGAGGAGCCCGCGCTGGGCGATCGCAGCCCTCACCGCAGGTTGGGAGAACGACCGATTTTGGAATAGCTCCCGAGTGGTCGTTCAAGGGTTACATGAAAAAAAACCAAACCCAACATTAAAGTTGCTTTGTGTACTCCCCTGGTGATTCGGGTACTGTACCTGCACTGTCTGCTGTGTTTTATTTATTTGCTTCCTCGCCTTTGAAAATTCAGGAAGTGACACTATTTGTGGAGTTTCTGAACTCTGAAGGTTTTATTGTTGGGAAAAGCTGAATTTGGGTAGCTGATAGGAGTGCTCTGAAGACTTGACTATTTAATATCCATAAATGTTCATTACCTGTGTTGAAAACAAAGGAGTATACGACGCCTCACTAGTGACTTTTCCATAGAATACTTTAAAGATACACTGTCTTGATAATCACATGAGGAGCTGCTTCTTGTGTGAGAGGAGTTACATCTGGATTTGATAATCCTGCCTGACCCAGAAGAGACTTATTTCAAACTAACTCTTCTCTTGTACTTTTAAGAATATTTTGTCTAGTATCAAAATACAAAAAAAAAAAACCACCCTGAAGCTGACTTGAGTGGCCTTTTTTATTTTTTCCCAAGCAGGTAAACACTTACCCCCCCCGCCCCGCACAACCCTGTTAAAGCTATGTTGTAGACCACAAGGGAGATTGGGGGTAAGGGCAGGGGAGGAAAAAAAAAGGTACTAAGTGGTTTGTCCCTTCCCTGAGAAACTGAACAAAGTTTCCTCTAAGTAGCAGAGCCACGAGGGAGCCCTTAGGTGCCTTGAGGATTTGACCTAGGCGACACCTGTTTAGCCAAAAGCAAAAGTCTTCAGATAAATAATGATGTAAATGTGAGTGAGATTAGTCGAAGGCTCAGAGATAATAGAGGTGGGACTTATACAACCACCAAATTACTTACATTTCCAGATATTCAGTATGAAGAAAGTAAGGAACTGATACTATCGGCGTAACACCTACACCCACAGGTTGTTGTGTAGATGCAGGTTGTCACCTCGTGTGCGTTGTTGAACTCCAGCCATGAAATCCCACAGCCATTACTAGTGTTACTGTGGTGCTTGTCCACATAATTTGCTGTAACACATTCTCGCATTGGATAATACTAGATGTCCCACCCATGGTATATAAATAACCAATGCAAAGTATGGAAGGGATCAGAGAGTATTTGAAACCACGGCTTCGGAGGAAAACGAATGTTGAAGTTATTCTATTGCATGACATCTAGACAAGATGTGCCTTTCCTCTGCCTCGTGTCATCAGCTTATTTCATTCAGCTGTATATTTGGGTGCTTCAAAAATAAAAGTAGTATATCCACGGAAAATCAGGTCCTGAGATGAAACCTGAAGGCTGATGTAGAAGGCTAAGCATGTGATGGCTTAGAAAAAGATTCTTGGATGCACTGAGTGTTGCTGGTCCTCAGCTATCGAGCAGTACTGAACAAAAGTGAGACACTGCATCCAGGAACAGCCCCTTGCTTTATGAATCACGCCTGCAATGGTCCGATCCCCCTGGCTCTCTGTGAAGAAGGTGCTTACCAGCAGGCTGGGCGCTGCCTGTTTGATGTCACAAAGCCGTAGCTCTGTTTAGCTACTGGCATTCTGGAAATACAGTAATAAACCAGCAGGTCCCAGGGAAGGCTTCAGCTAATCGTCATGACCTGTGGTGTCTAAAAATCTCCAACTCCCTCATGTTGAGGGAGCCTGTTTGTAAATAGGGCAGGTCCCCTGCATCAGGACAGTGTTTTTATTCACACCCAGTGAACAAACACCTCCACCCACTGTTGTTGTTTTAAAAGACTCCAGCTGCTCATGAATATAGGGTCAGGGAGGGCCGCCTAAATGTTTCTCTGTGCTTTCTCCCCAGCGCAGCCAGCAGAGCTGTTTCCTGTTCTTTGTTTCAAGGCTGGGGTTTGCGTCACACATTCCAAGTGGCATATGTGGTGCTCTTTCCTGTTTCAGGCTGTTTTCTGGCAGATCAGTAGCCTCGTCCAGGCCCCTTGTCACTGCCCCTCAACTCCCAATCCCCACCCAGTGAGTTATCGTGTCTCTACACACTCACGATTGCTTAAGATGCCTGTGTTATGTCATCATGAGGTTTCCAAGTTAACCTTTAACGCACACCCTCAACCCCAGTGTAGTTATGGGGGTGATCCTGGAGGGCTTCGCTCCCTTTGCTGAAATACTCCAGTCTCCAGAAAGTTGTGAGCCAGTTTTCTGTGCTCGCTTGCTCATCAGCTGGTCTGGAATAGCTCCGTTAAAGTCACGGAGTTACACTGGTGTAAAAAGAGTGTGAGAAGAGGCTGTAGGCTCATACTTGCAAGAAGGTTTTGGCTTCTGTCCTTACCTAACCTGAATGGCCCACCGTAAGCACTTTGTATTTCCAGATGTCAAAAGGAATAATATTTTCTCCTTGCACAAACTAGAAGGTTCACTGTCTTCCAAATGTAATATAGAAAATGAGGCACTGCTGGCTAACTTTTCTTTGGAATTAATAGGTTATGGCTGTCCCACAGTTAGCATTTTTGAAGGCATAAAAATGAATTTTTTACTCCGGTTTTTATATTTGTCTTCCCCCCCC